GAACAATTATCGCAAAAATATCTGAAAAGAGCACTTTCTTAGGAAAAGCGACTTTTCCGAAAAAATGATGGATGATCGGAAAAAGCTAAGATCATATTTGAATTCAACAGATCAAAATACAAAGGCATCGATGTATCGCATATCGGAGACATTTATACATTGAATTTTGAATACACTTCGATCCGGCAATGCTTTTACAATACACAATTTTAGGCTCGGAAAACTCGGCTTAACCGGAAATCTGAAGTGTGATAGGAAGAAACCGAGGTCATATTCGGATTTAGCAGCTCAAAATACATAAGTAACATACTACCACGGATCCAGGAAAATTTATAAAAATAAATTGCATGCACGACAAATATACGTCGGATTTGCTAATTTTCCCGGGAAAAAGTTGCTTTCCCGGAAAACTGAGAGGTGAACGGGAAAAATTAAGGTAATTTCCGGACTCATCAGTTAATAATACATCGGCACAATTGAATCTCGTAGCTACGAAAAATTTTACCTACATTCTGCAGGAGAAAACAGTCGGAAAAACACTGAAAATGCCCCAAAATGGTCATTTTTCCGAGTGAAATCGGCTTTCCCGGAAAATTGGAGGGCGATGGAGAAGAACGGAGGTCATATTCGGATTCAGCGCCTTAAAATGCTAAAGATCACTTAACGTCGTTCAGGAGACATTTTTTTATCTTGGTTTGTTGTACAGTATAATGAGACATATAACGAAAGATGGACAATAGCGGTTTTCGCATGATTCGGACCACGGCCTCCCCTGAAAAGGACTTCAAACCTAAGGCACAAACATTTTCACTACATTAATGAGTGTGTCTGACCTCCGAGAGTATTTTAACCCCAAAAATCTCAAAATTGAAAAAAATGGACATCAGCGGTTTTCGCGCGAGCCGATTCAAATAATGTATCTAACGACAACAACATAAGCATAAATCGATACACATGAATTTAGATGGCATATATTTTCGTGATCTAAGATCCATGATTGGTACTCCTCACTGGATTTTAGGTCTGGGTCTGACATTGTGGGAGAATGCAAATAAATACACTAAAAAAGGAAAGACTCATATTTAGGAAGTGAGTAATTTTGATATGTGCCCATGCTTTTCTCAGAAACCACCTCATCAGCTCAAAGAAAGCTCTCTGCATTGAGGCTGAGTGAAGGGGATTGCTTACGTTGCAGAGAGAGTTCACCTCTACACCCAGTCAAACTCTCCCTGCAAAAATAGAGAGCAAAAACATTAGCAGAGTAACTGTGACTACAACCTTGGAATCCTTGCACATAGTGGCAACTCTGGTGATGTATTTCTTCTCTATCTGTACATAATTAGTTTGATTACACATGAACGTACCCTCTTCTTAATGTAAGCGATCACCTCCTGAACAGCCTCATGTTTGTGAGTTTTCTATATAATGAGTGTAAGTCTCAGACAAAACGGGCAGCACAATTGGGTTTTTTATGAAACTTCACAAAAGAAAGAGCACTTAAGTCACAAATGCATGCAACATGCAAGAAGGGTGGACCGAAAATATTTTTTGGAAATCCAAAAAATGGTTAGGGCTCAAAAGTTGTCAATAGGCCCAAATAGGACTAGAAGAAAATCTCAGGCCGTAACCTCTCCATCTTCATCGTCGACATAGGGGTTGAAGTTTTGACGGCTGGATATTCCAATTTTTCAAAATAAAATCGCTCTTCAAGTCCACATTTGGGTCAAAATTGTTGCAATCAAGGGTATTCCAAGTCAAGAGATCGATTGTTTCAAGAAAATAATCGATATACTGTAATCCAAATGGATTTTTGCAAGGTGGAACGTAAAAATCGTCAATTTTTCAATTTTTATCACGCCTTCGGTAACTTTTCATGAGAAATAATCGTTGCTGAGAATTTTACCCAAAAAAATCGAATCTTTCAAAAAATTCACTCTCGACCTTTCGAATGGGATGCTACGATTTTGCTAACTGCTGGACTCCTTCATTCCAAAGAATTGAGAAGAATGAATTGTTAGAATTGAGATTCTTGGCACCATAGTTTAATTATTGAGCCAAAAGTTACACTGAAATGATCAACTGGGATGGCGTTGCGGTGAAGTCACCTCTTGCGCTTCAGTTTATATACGACGAAAACTTGCTTCTTTTCGTCCATGGTGTGTGTGGAACGTCACCAAAATTTCTTCTACTTTCCGCATCATACTCAAAAAGTTGAAAGATATGTAAAACTTGTGACTGATGCCTCTGCATCAGTTTGTGGTGAGGAGCAAAGAAACCGCTTCCATTGCTCAGCGTTAAATCCTGGGACATAATGCCATTGTTTGAGTGGTAAGACGGATTCAATTTTAGAGTTTGAGATTTTCTTTGTAAACTTTGCAATGGTATGAGACAGTTCAGCTACAAAAAGATCCATCAATGAAATTATTCCGAATTGGTGTGAAATAATGGGTCAGTTGCGCTGGTCCCATAATCGTGTTTTGATGCTTGATTCTTGTAGATTAGCTAAAGATAATAAGATCTGCTTGAGCCGCAACTTTCTACGTTCAAAATTAACCGAGATATTGCCCTTTGAAAAGTCAGGCTCTTGACATCATCCACTGCGGCAGTGACATCTTTGGTCTCTTCCTCTTTAGTTCAATCAGTGATGCAGAGGGTGCATCGCAAAACTTCAACTATGTTAAACGTAAAGAAACTCAAGAAACAGACAGATTTGCACTCTAAAGATCTTCATATCATGAGATAAAGCACTTGCCACGAAGAGATTAGGCAGTCAGTCAATTCACCTCAGTTTGTTTACGTTTAGCGTCGTTGAAGTTTCACGTTGCACCCTCTATATCACTGATAGAACAAAAGAGGAAGAAACCAAGGGTGTCACAGCCGCGGTGGCTGATGTCAAGAGCCTGACTTTTCAAAGGGCGATATCTCGGTTTATATTGAACATAGAAGTTGTGGTTCAAGCAGATCTTAATATTTTTAGCTAATCTACACACAGGTGAAATTCGATTAATAGCCACCTCCTCATGGTGGGTTCTGGAACTAAATTCAATCTATAAGTCATTTCAGTAACATAAGTCTAACGAGTCCATATATTGGTTGTAAATATACTTGAAATGACATACGGCTGAATTAAGCAGAGCTGTTGCAGCAATACTTCCGAATGACTTCTGAACAACCCGTAACTTTCGACCTCTCTAATGATTAAGGGTCATTTCCATGGGTGATTTTGCTCAAAGAATCGTTTTTTAGATTAAGTCACTACAACGATTACTTCTCACGAAAAGTTACCCCAGGCGTAAAAAAATTGAAAAATTACGTTTTTCACGAAATATAACGCAAGAATCTACTTAGATTTCAATAAATTGATTATTTTCTACAGCAGGGTTTCAACTTTCAAATTCTCTGGATTTTCCCTAAGTGATGACATCATGAAGCAATTCTCTAAGACACCTCATTCGACACAGAAGTGAAAAACAATCACTAACCCAGGGCTCTGATAGCTGACGACTAATAGAGGCTACTCCTTCCTTCTTAATTTTTTGTTCAACTTCACTACCTCACAATTCTATTCTAAAAAATAATGGATTGTATCAATGTGTGAATAAATACACTTTCGAAAACCATGCTTCACAGATATTTCATAATAATTTTTGATTGCTTCATGTAATCTGATAAAAAGTTATTTTTCAATGATCATGAAGGTGACGTCCATCATGAATACGCTCCCCAATGCTCTACTATCAATTAAGAGAGCTACCGAGAAACTGTCAGTAGCTTAAGGGGCCTTGGAGAGCGTATTCATGATGGATGACACCTTTATGATGGAAGAAGACAGTCAACATTATCTTCACATTGCTGAGACTCTTCCAAGCTTTCTACGGGCTAGGTCTCCTAGGTGCGATCCAAAGTGACGATTGCACTTTCGTCTCAGGATTGTACCCGTAGACTCAAAACGCGTCCCTTGTGATGAACTTTCCATAAGCTCTTTCCACCCCACTCTCCTTAACTTTTTCTCTTTTAGGAAAAACGAAATCTGACGATCACAGCAGTATAGCACGCACTTATCAGCAAATTACCAATGACTGATTCGACGTGTCATAATGCGGCTGTGCACCTGCACTCAGGAGAGTCCCTGCAAAGATAATCCCAAGTCACAACCTCTTATCAACCGTTGATGGCAAGATAATCAACTTGGTAAGGTGCTTCCCAGATAGACCCCGTACATGGGAATACCTTTGATTGCAACAGTTTTGACCCAAATGTGGACACAGAGAGCAACTTTATTTAGAAAAAACTAAAAAATTCAGAATAATCAGCCCTCAAAACTTCAACCACAATGTTGTTGATGGAGATGGAAGAGTTACGGCCAGGATTTTTTTCTAGTTTTATTGGGGTCGATACACATCTTTTAAGCCCTGCTCATTTTCCGATTGCCAAAAATTTTTTTGTCAACCTACCCTTCTGCAAAGCTCCATTCAAGGACTTCGTAGTAGATAGGGGTAATTGCTTAAATTTCAAGTATATTCAAGGACTTTTTGAAGCAATATAAACCCTGTAATAGGCACAACTTCCGTGTTTACCAAAAAACAACAACATGCATTCATTGAACGTTTACAAGAATCTTTTCTTAGTCCCTTGTATGCAAGTGTACTGTTTTGACTAAGTCTCACAATAGTTACAGTGTTTGATAGTCTCCTCAATCGAATTTTTAAGGTACCTATATACATTTTCTATGATAAAAAATTTGTATTAACAGCGCATTGTTCAATCAAATATTCTTGACCTGACAAAAGGTTGGATTTGTCAAGGCTTTCTGTGATGATGTAATACTACTCAATTGAAAAATTGGTAATTGCATAGCTAAGTAAGGGACTCTCTTGATGAAATACTTGAACTGATTTTCCAATATGTATTCATATGTTGGCCCAAGGGTCTCCAGATAAACAACTATAATCGGGGTTGATCTCCAATGACAGATTAAAATGAGAAAAACTAGTACTTACAAATTTGAGCATGTTCCAGTCAAAAACATAGTCATAAGTAAGACCAAGTCTATGAAACAAAGTTCTAAATAAGTGACGTAAAAAGGTGTAATCTGGCCTCTCTTCAAAGCGTAAATTTCGGCAGTATTTTAGATACCTTCGAAATTCCTCTGTAATACAAAATCATAATATAAGCCCATAGGGTTACATGGAGGTCTGAAAGATAACATCGAGAAAAAGGTGACAGAAATTCCCAAGGGATGTAGTACAAGAAAGTCTTGATTAATGAATTGAGGACCGTGCCAAAAGAGGGGTGTATCTGGAGATGCGCCTTTTATTCAGCAATCGCCTATTCTGATTCTACATGGTATACTGGTGTATCTTCCAAGTTTGAGAAAAATCTGTTGATTCGTTACATGAATGATTGACCCTTTAAGTGAACTAAAAATACGCCCTCCTTCCTGCCATAAAGCTTTTTCTCCTGACTTGCACATTAAAACAAAAAAAAAAATTGAACCAAAAAGATAAAACCAGCTTAAAATATTTTGCCCCCCCCCCNTAATAACAAAAAAAGCACTTGCACGTATTTTTAAAATCTGTTTTAAGAGGAAGCCGGCAAATTTGAAAAGCGGCAGGCAATGGGTGTTTAAGCAGATTGAACAGGAGCTGAGAAAACATTTCAGGCCACAACCGCCACCTTTGCTTTTCAAATTTAAAAATTTGACTGGAGATTTGAGTTTCCCATAAAAATATTCTGCTATACACAAAGTTTCACAAAAATCCATCAAAGATGAGTGGAGATATCATCTTAGCTCATATCCGCCATCTTGGATTTTCGATTTTGAAAAATGTGACTAATAATTCGAGTTTTCTATCATCAAATACCCCTTTGTACCAAATTACACGAAACTCCACAGAACAGGAACCGAGATAGCATTTCAGGCTTTAATCTCAGGTTTGCAAAATTGGCAACACAGAAAACCTATCATTCAGGGGGCACAAATTGGACAAAAAGAATTAATATGTGCAATGGGCCTGTTGCATGCAAGAGATACAGCCGCACGAATAGACTTTTCAGAGGTTAAATGACACAAAAATTACGATGGTCACATTAAAAAAGTCTGAAATACACTCTTTACTGCGCAATTTGTGTTGTTAGGAACGCGCTTTTTCAAATTTCCCGCGCCTGGGGGCAGTTTTCTAATCACCGGAAACGAGCAAACGGCGGACTCGGTGATTTCCGGAAGATGCCGAGCCGTTGTTGTTATTTATTCCTTCAGTTTGTTTTCAAACCCAACGTGATCTCCTACAGTGGTCCATATACGCTTTATGCGGTAACCAAATCGATCAACTTTTAAACATCCAACGCAATCCTTCTACATTTCATTTCACGATGTCACGAGCTCCGATTTTTAGGTTATGTTGTCAGTTTTAGTTGACCGGAAATAGCCGCGAGTTGCCGTTAATTGTTTCCGTTAGAAAACTGCCCCCAGACGCGGGAAATTTGAAAAAGCGCGTTCCTAACAACACAAATTGCACAGTAAGGAGTGTATTTTAGACTTTTTTTTTTGCGACCATCGGAATTTTCGTGTCATTTAACCTCTAAAAAGTCTATTCGCACGGCTGTATCTCTTGCATGCAACAGGCCCATTGGTTCGCGGAAAAAGCGCGTTCCTAACAACACAAATTGCAACAGCTCCTAACAACACAGGATCTAGTTTAATAAAATTGCCTTTGGTTCAACCAATTGGCCCATTCGATTTTTGAGGGCATCATTCAAACTTTCAAATGCGTGTTCTCACTGCAGCTGTACCTTGTAAATACATCCTCTTTTAGGCAAAGTCCTCAATTGTAATTCAAATTGATTGTGCTTTCATTAAAAGCACTTATTAGTAATGGTGGCAATTCGGTCACGGACTTGCTCCTGCTGCTACTGCAATCCATGGACGCTGCTGATTTTACCAGTCATAATAATACGTCATTGGTGTTGCCGGACACCTCACCTGTACCAGATACATAGTCAGTAAAGGAACGAGGCGCTAAGTCATTTACTGAGCAGCATTTGGCATAATTAAATCACATTTACTTAAGTTCATGGGTGATAGATCTAAGAATTACTATGAACGTCCTCTCAGGGATGTGGAACATGCCTGGACCTTGATTACAGGTGATTGATGTTTGAAAAGGCAGTGGTGATAAGGGAAACCACTTTCCTCTTCATAATTTTTGTAAATATAATTACACAAGGAAATACTGCAATCATGCTTGCACTCTAAAATGTTGTACAACTGCAATGTTGCGCAAAAGTTAAGTGACAGCGATTTACAATAGAATTCACACTTCTCCAAGGAACGCCCAATATTGAAGAAGATTTTACGATTTTTAGATTTACTTTGAAAATTATCAAATCTTCATCTTCCAACTTCTTTCTGTGTGAGAAGAGCTCTTTATAGTACACTGTAATTTATTTCAAGGCTGTCATTTAAAATAGAAAACCCCTTTCAGTATAGACCCCTATAATAGGAGCTACTTGACAGACTTTGCCCTTCAAGGAAGTCTTGCTATTTTTATTTTTTTGGGAAATTGAAACATTTTTAATAGGGCATTAGACTTACCAGGATAGTTTTTACATAGGTCGTCAATTGGGGTAGACATTTTCTTCTCACTAATTCTTTCATACTTTTGTCTTTTTGTGGCAGCTTTGAGCCCTTGCCATGGAAGTGAACCGCGATTAAAATACATCAGAACATAACCTAAAGATTCGAGATCATCTCGTCGACTTTGCTCTGAAACAAAAGAAAGGATAATTGTTACATACAATAGCTATTACATGACTCACAAACATGTAATGTCTGGGCAACTTTCGATTATGCTCATTCAGTTTCATTTGCACTTTCAGCAGTTCACTTGCAATTACTACATTTATCATGACTCATTTCATGATCCGAGCGGTTTGATGATTTAGTCCATAAAGATTCTCCAAAAAGGAGAGTCTTCTAATTACTCAAGGTGAAAAGAAAAGCCATATATTGTATGGTCATTCCGGACAAATTTGAGCAAACTGATACTAAGTTAAACTAACAAACATCATGAAACATTAAGAGAGTGCCTGAGCACCAAGGGGCTTCCACCTACAAGGCTACTATAATGCCAGACCTCCCTTCTTCTGCAGGGTAGTGGTTTACCCACATCTCTTAGCGGTTTAATTCACAAAATTGATTCATGCCCATTTACTTTAAGATATTTAAGTGTCAACGTCAAGTGACAGGTAAAGGCACAGTTATGAAAAGATGTCTCAAAATGTTAACAATCATTTCCTTCATTCAGAAGCGAATATTTTTTCCTACATTTCTAAAACTTTGTGCAATTTTTCTCAGTATTGGTGAAAAAAACTTCCTTGAACAAATTTTTTATGCGCCAAGAACAATTTCTTAAGCGTATGTGGCACCTGAGAGTTTCAAACAAAACAAGAATGAAAGAAGAAAATGACAATTCCATACAGGTACATGGAAAATGTAAGTTCGTTGGAAAAAAATGGCAGAATATGTAACATATCTTACCGATGCCGAGATGAGTATTTAGACTTGCATATCTAGCTGTGCCAGTTAAATTTTTATTTTCTCGATATGGGATGTGCTGATGCGTAAGGCTATCTCTATATTTCTTAGCTAGACCAAAATCAATGATGTAAACAAGATTCCCTTTCTTGCCGAGACCCATGAGAAAATTGTCTGGTTTAATATCACGATGTATAAAATTACGACTATGAATATATTCTATTCGACCAATCTGAAACAGGGAAAAGTTATGGTAATTCGGATGCATCAACTTCAATATAGTAACCAGCAGGAATGTAAAGGAATCATTCCACAACTTGAACAGCAAAACAAAAATTAGCTTCAAGAAATTAATTAAAAAAAACCATTTCTTGTCGATCCCAATGATTATGATCCCCCATTGATCCCCCCCCCCTCCCTTGGAAGATTAATCCTCTTCCGAGAAAGAAAATTATTCATGTACCTGAACTGCCTCCATGTGTTCCTGCTTTCTCGAGGTACACACTACTACAGGTGTGGACAAACGGGGTGCCGAAGTGGCAGCACTATGAATATAGGCCATCAAGTGACGTCGCAAGTCGTACCATATTTGCCGCAAAGTTCAAAATGAGGTTCTGGCAGATCTGGGGTAGCTTCAATAAGCTATCAGATGAATTTAAAAAATTGATAGGACTCAAAATAACGAAAAACTTAAATAGAAACACGAAAACGTAACACGAAATTGACGAGATCCACTCTCAGAACAGAAAGGAAATAGGTTTGCAATAGGACTCAGGATTACTCAGGAATTCTTCCATCTTGCTTCCATCCATGTTTCTTGTTGACCAGTGAACCAGTCCAAATGTGTGCCTCCCTGACTCATGAAAGCAAGATGGAAGAAACCAAGGATGTCACTACCGCGGTGGATGATGCAATACACCTAATTTAGGGCTGTGTACCGAACTGCCTCATCGAGTGTCGGTGATCGATGTCGGTATCGGTTCGGTTGGTTTCGATCGATTCACCGAAACACGAAGCTATCGCGATATATCGTACATACCGAAACTTACCGAACATACCGAAACTTATCGAACTTACCGAAACTTATCGAACATACCGAAACTTATCGAACATATCGAAACTTATCGAACGTACCGAAACTTACCGAACGAATCGAAGTTACCGATCATATCGAAGTTACCGAACATACCGAAACTTACCGAACAAAATCGGACCCATCCACATTAACCAGCATCATTAAAGAATCCAACGGACTTGCATTAAGCCCTATTATCCATAAATCTCGACGCTCTGCACGGCTCACGTAAAAATTGAACTATGTTTGGTGTTTGAAACTCACCTTCGAGTTTTAGGAGTCATGTGGCGCATCAAGCCCGATTTTTAGGCGCCATTGAAGATTTTTAAGGGGCCAAATTGACTTTTTGTCTATACAATACGGCGCATTTAGTGAAAATTTAGATGCAAGATGTTTTTGTAACAGAGCTAGTAGGTAGCTGTAACTTGGGGAGGGCAAAAGCACTAAGAATAAAATCGTGAAGAGAAGAAAAAGCTCATAGAAAAGCTAAATTCTGAGTTTTTTCAATTCAAATAGATTTGTTTTTCTCTCTTATGTGACTTCCTGTGAAAATCCAGATCTTTAGGGAGCACTTTTTAGGGGCCACGTTGGCGCAGAGCCTTCATTTTTTAGGCGCCATGGCTGATTTTTCAGGCGCATTTGGTGCGTTGGCGCCTGTGAGTTTCGGACACTGGCATCGATGCGCATCACTTGACTAAACAGCCACCACTTTGAACGTGTGTCCGGCTCTTTGATGATGCCGGTTAATGTGGATGGGTCCGATTTTGTTCGGCAAGTGTCGGTAAGTTTCGGTATGTTCAGTAACTTCGATGTGATCGGTAACTTCGATGTGTTCGATAAGTTTCGGTATGTTCGATGTGTTTAGGTATGTTCAATATGTTTCGGTATGCTCGATAAGTTTCGGTAAGTTCGATAAGTTTCGGTAAGTTCGATAAGTTTCGGTATGTTCGATAAGTTTCGGTATGTACGATATATCGCGGTAACTTCGGTATTCGATGAATCGAAAATGTTTCGGTAGGTTTCGGTATGTACGATATATCGCGATAACTTCGGTATTCGGTGAATCGAAGATGTTTCGGTTTGGTTGGTCATTGTAAAAGAAAATTGCCGGGAGCAAAAGTTGAAAAGATCTTCTAACGAGGGTCGATATCGGTACGGGTTCGGTATACAGCTCTAACCTAATTCGTCATAGCGTGATATCTCAGTTAATATTGAATGTAGAAAGTTGATGTTCGGACAGGTCTTAAAATTCTTAACTGATCTACAAGAATCAAGCTTCAAAACACGATACTAAGACCTGCACAACTAACCCATTGTAAAAGCTACTAAATTGAAGACTGAGGGTTACTACTCACCAATTGGTCAGCTAATAGGAGAACAGTCTTTAAAGAAAATTGCCGGGAGCAAAAGTTGAAAAGATCTTCTAACGAGGGTCCTAGTAACTCCATCACCATGACATTAAAATCGCCTTCTGAGCCACACCATTTGATATTAGGAATACCAACTATAACAAGAAGTAAGAAAAAAACAAGAGAGAGTTAAAAAGGATGCAAGTAAAACAAACAATTCTAATCATACCTTCAACCTAATTTAACAGCGATACCATTTTACTCTTTCGTTCAATTCAAAATGGTAAAATGAACCAGCTAATAATATCAGCCAAAATGAAAGGTATTCTTTAAAGAGTAGAAGCTTGTGTCGCTCTTGGGAGATGCAAAGCTTTTAAATAAATAACTGAAAAATGAAAAAAAAAGTCTAATACATGTTCACTAAATCTCTGATTGTCCAAACTAATTTTTGGGAGGGCTGATTTCTTTTACTCGTTTGTTGTATTTTCTCTCAGCAGCCAGACAAAGCTGATCGTTTTCACTCATTCTATTGCCTGCTTCTATGCTTTCACAATGTGTGCTCGTATTCCTCCACTTACACACCTGGCTTCATTTTATAGTTTATTTGTATGTAATTTGTAAAATAGAAAGTAATTACTTCAAATTAGTGTTTACTTCATTTCGTTTGATGCCACATAAGTTTGAATCATCCGGGGTTTGCTGTATTATAATTTGATCGGTTTGGAGGAAAATAGCAATCGCCTTATACTAGCTCAAATTATCTAAATAGAGCAAAACTCATTGAAAAAACTGAATTCCAATGGAAGTAAGTATGGATTGATCAGTTTCTTGCTGTGAAATTAACTCTTCTCATTATAAATACACTAATAATAAAAGTTATGATTTGAAATTCTAGCAATAATCAAATTGAAGAGATTAGTATACGTGACATATCCACTAATGTCTAGTTGGTCCAACCCGACTTGACTCATTCATACAATTGTTGGTTAATTAAACCATACCACTGAGAGTTAAAACTACCAACAACCTTCAAAACAAATGATTCTCAACGTAAATGGTTATTATCTCCATTTAAATTGATCCATTCTATTTCAATTTCTAGATATGGAATAATATCTAGATTGTAATATCTAACTGCCCTAAGTTGCAATGTTAATGTAGACTTACCCGATATGATTAAGTTTTTTCTTTACAAAAAGTACCATTATAGTCCCATCGAAGGTTGAAGATGGTCGTATTTTTCATTTGTTGGGTTAAAAAGTTGGTTATTCAAACGTCAACACTCAAGTCATTTTAATTCTGTTTCCAAACTGTCCGGAACAGTTTTTTCAAAAACGCACCTTTCGAAGATAAGATCATACCGACTCAAGGCTGATAATAACAAAACCTATCCTCTTCGCAAACTGCAGACATCAGTGGTATGTCAGTGCTACGGTTTTAATTAGGTAATGAATTAGTTGAAGTCTTGGCCAGGGAAAGAAAATAGCACATGAGAGCAAAAATAAGGTTAAAATGCTTGCAGCAACTGGGTGGGTATACCACTTCTGCCAGTTTGGAGCACCAATACACACTACTTATCTATAAGGGATCCAGATATAAAATAGAGCTAGAGGGTATCTTTAATACCTAGAGGCAGAATGGGTAAGCTGATTGTAGGATATATTCCTATGTTCTAAATAGAGGTAAATCTGAGGTAATGATAGCTCTGGAAAAATTTGAGATCATCTTGATTTATAATGTGGATTAATGTGGATTGATGTGTATTCGAATAGTATACACATGTAGAAAATAGAGTGTGTACAGATAGATAATGTTGGTAACAAATAGCTTGGTCTCTTGGTTTGCATGCAAACTGATTTTCATTATACCAGTAATTCAACTATTGCCAATATTCACTATATTAGGCTGTGGCAAATATTCTATGTGTTTGAAAGGGAGTACAGAAATTCCTACACCGTCAGACAACTCCCACCCACCCAACTTTTCGCCCCTGCATCACTGGAATTATTTACTGATTATGAATTCCACTAATTTTATCTCCATCAAACAGCAACGACAACATTCTAATTCAGCGTCTATGGTAATCCTTGACTAAAACTCTTCTGAAGTTAATAATCCAATATATTCTATTATCCCAAAGACATCAAATCACTTAGACCGTCCATACTGTGTTACAGAGGGCGTGACAACTTTTAAAAACTGGCATGGCACACCGACTAGTGAGAGTAGAGCGCCGACCTTGCATCAGTGAGCTTCTGAGCTTAAGTGTCCTACTGCGTGTTTGGAAATGTGAAACTTAGCTTATCAGTTAGAAAATTGTACACAGTACTCTACAACTTTTGTCCTTTGGAATTTTACCTGCAAATGGACTAAAGGCGAGTAATGTGCGAAAAACTGAGAGCACAAATCAATTCTCCATTGCTCCTCTGCAGTCTACTTGAGTGCTAGGGACGCACCCCCCCCCCCCCCCCCACATGAGGTTCTGAGAAAATTGTCACGCTTTGCCTGTACAAAACCGAGCCAAATGCAGGGTCTATGTGATTCAATGTCTTTCCACGTCCTTGTTGGACCTGAGTAAACAGCGCTTAGGGAGCAGATATTTATGGTAATTAGTTGTGTGACATGACACATAGATAATAAATAAATAATAAAATATAATCATAATAATAATAATGATAATAATAATAATAATAATAATAATAATAATAATAATAATAATAATATGGTACTACCAATGTGAAACTCAAACTGAAAGGTCCTGTAGGATTACGACTGCATGCCACTTATTTAATTAAGAATACAATACAAGGCACTATACTTATTTGTAAGTATTTAAAGTCTTTATAAGATTTTTTTTTTTTTTCTCCCTCTTCAAATAGCCTGTGAGGCTAATCCCATTCCAAATTCGCATACCGAGCCTTCACCTATCTTATACCCTCCCTGTCAACTTCCCTCACCCCAGTTATTCTTTAGGTATACCTACCCTCAATTTAAGCAAGAAGTTCCTTTTAAATGACTCCAGTCCCAAGATGCCCAGATAACTTCAGAGTATCATTTTAGGAGGCTTCAGAAAATAAACTTGCAATAGTCAGCAAAGAAACTTAGAATAAAAGCTAAGGAAAAGCAAACTGGCAGAGTAAAAACCGTTACTTAGACCATAAACAAAATGCTCAGTATGGAGGTTATTATTCGACCCTGGTGTGTCTGCCGTCTTAGGGCCCAGAAGAGGAAATGCCATAAACTTCGCGATGAGTGACTTAAAAATGCTGGGTCCAATTACTAATTTTCTTATGTGTCTGAAATCATGTTGTGAAATGTTCCAACCACTGTCAGTAGACTTGAGTTCCTGGCTACTTAAGTTACCTCACCAATTGGAAAATAAGGCAGAATATTACTGAGCCAAGATCAGCAAGTTGCCATAGCATTGGACATAAGAATAAAAAAGACCTTCTAATCTAATGGTAGGGAGCCCTATGAGGAAACAAATACATGATCAATTAAACTTACCCCCATTTTGCATGAGTTTGTAGATTTTTGACTCGATATGTAGTTGAGGATGTTTTGTTTTGATACATTCTAATTTGATTGCTACTTCTTCTGCAGTAGTTATATTCGTTCCTGAAAGTAGGAGAGATTAAGATGAGAAAGATTTGCAAGAAATGGCTTCAACTGCTTCTAAAAACCGAGAAACATGGCAAAACCATTTATCAGAACTGAAAGGTCTGATTTAGAAGGACAGGAGACAAGGAACATAGTAAAAAAATTACCTAGATAAATATCTCCAAATGAGCCACTTCCTATTTTCCTTCCGAGGCGATATTTGTTCCCGACTCTCAGCTCCATTTCTGAGGACAAACACGATAAAACTGATTAGAACAATGAAACAGCAAACGCTACAATGGCAGCCATATTTGATATTGTACGACTTCTACATAGGCCTACGAAAATGAAAAATTGCGAGATTTACCTGGTAAATGAAGCGAAATTAAACGGAGGCAGGTCTGACCCGTATTATGAACACTTTAAACAAATCATAATTGCATTTCAGACGCTAGAAAGACGAGGGATTCCGTAATGGATCACGGTCCTTCCAGGCAGGGCTCTGATCACGGCACTACCACTACCACCAAGGTAGATTTACACAGGTATGGACAGAACTTAACAACTGGCCTCTGATTGGCTCTCCAGCGGCCCCTTAACGTCAGCCATTTTGAATGTTTTGATTATTTTGATTTATTATGTTCGGTTTATCGTTTGTCAAAATTTTGTGGGATTTTTTGCACAATTTTGATAATGCGATATTAATTTTAACGTTTAAACGCACAAACGTTTGAATGCTAATTTGATTGTAATTTAATTAAAAAACGGGCCCCTTAACCTACGTCACGTAGTCATGTGACACGTACTGAGGCTCATGGGAAATTTTCAACTTTTCCATACCTGTGTAAATCTACCTTGCACTACCACTACGTACGATTACACAGCTTGGGTTCTGGTTCAGGAGAGACCGAGACCACTACAACTCATAGAGAAAAAAAGGACGTGTTTGCATTTCGGGCATCTTGGAATTTTTTTGATGACGTAGGTCGGTACAGCGACGTTTATCATCGATTTTCTTGGAAATGGTGTAATTAATGGAAAAAAATTCATTCAATAAAAAGTGCTTGAAATTATATTATGAGTTGATTGAAGCAAAAAAATGGGACATTATGGTCCGTTTTTCATACTTCGAATTCCGGATTCCGCTGGCCAGGTTGTACCGACCTACGTCATAGGGTAAACAAACCTCAAGATGCAAACACCTCCTTTTTTTTCTCTATGACTGAAACTGAGAGGGATGTGGGAGAGGGGCAGAGACAAAAACTATAAAGAAAAAAGGTGGGAGGTGGGGGCGGCGCAGAATGACGAGAAAAGGAAGAAAAAGAAAGCTCTATGTGCGTAAACATGATGCACAATCTGTGCTCATTAATACTCAACACATCATCTGATTCACACAACTACTGATAAAAAACGATCGAATAAATAGACAATTTTCACCACTCAAGTAGGCTCTTCGGGCGTCGTAGCGTTGTAAGTTTATAGTCTAGCCCTGCCCGAAAAGGCGAGCGAGGAAGGTAAGTGGGAGGTGGGGATAAAAGGCCGCACTTTTCCGTTGCGGTCGTCTATCGGCCGCCGTTGCACCCTCTGGTCTATGAGAATTAAAAATAATGCCCCCCTCAAAAATTAAGGGGGGGGGGTAGTCCAGTTACCCCACGACGTTTGGTAACTGGGTCAAAAAAACGGGAAATTTTTGAAAATTTGTAGGAAAAAATTGAAAGATGAATTTCGACTTTTGACTCTTTCTACATTTAGACAAGGGGTTGTACCTACTAAAAAAATTTAAAAGTAGCCTCCACTGTCAATATAATGATGGGAAAAAAATCATGAAGTTGAAATTTTGACATTTTTCTCCGAACTCTTGCCCAGTTACCCGACCTCACCTTACCAAATTCAAAAAGCGTCTAATGATGAATTTTAATCTCTATTTTCCATAGAGTACATAGAGTCGTAATGTGAATGGGAGAGCTGGCGCCATGTTCTGCTCGACGAATTCCGAGCCCGGTGTGCGCCGAGTTCGGGTCGCTCTCTCGAATCTCGATACATATTCGATCCAAAATGGCGGTGTGGAATACGTGGTAGCCCTCATGGGGGCTGGTCGAGCGAGAAATCGAAACTTTGGCAATGTGCCCAAAAATCGATCGGTCGGTGTTTCGAGATGTAAGGCTGTCTCGAATTTTACGATGTTGCCAAACCAAAAAGTAAGCATGAGATTTCTTTATAGGTGTTTCTGACTTTCCACCACTGTCGATCCTTGACTGTCGATAGTCAGTGTGAAATTGTGAGATAATCTGATAATCGCTGATAACTCTCGAAACATGATCATGAGCGTGAATTAAGAGTTAGAGGAGGTTAGAATCCATTAAGTGAAATTATCAATTAGTATCTCATAGACTTTTCCCCTAGAACTCGTGCATCGGGAGACTCGTAGGTAATTTAGTATTGGTGATGTGATTAGATTCGTGAAAAAGTGTAACCGCATTGCTTGCTTTTAACTAGCGCTTATCGTATTGATGCAATGATTGTCATCAGTTTGTTTCCTCTACTACACAACCGCACCCGTATGAAGGCAGATGAAGAATAAAAATGGTTACTTCAGTTGTTACTCTTTTTCTAAATTTTATGTTTTGGCGTCTCCGCTCCGAAATCACAAGGCTGCCGTGTTCCCTAGCTACCTATGCAGATCGCTTGCTAAGTCTGCCCCCTGTGGAAAGTCTAATCATACCTCAGTTCTCTCCAGTTGGAATTTCTCTACTTCAGTGTACGCAAAATAATATTTTGCAGCTGAAGAACACAGCATCTCTCTTGCGGCTATGAACAATTGAAACAATCCAGTTATCTCTCTGAGTTAGTTCATCCAGGATGTCACCATGCTCTTCCAGAACTCTTGTTGTTTAAAAAATTAATGGGCTCCATTAATTAATGTTCGACAATGTTGTGGAAAAGCACGTCGATAGTCCGTCCAAGCATCGAAGGAGAAGTACATTATTTGCATGAAGGTTTGTCAATTCTGGCTTAAAGTAAGTCATGTACCAGCCTTCCACCTATCAGCACATCTTAGAGCGCAAGTTTTCTGTCAAAGAGAACCAATTCTGCATTTTCAGCCAATGATCTACCTTTTTTTAGAATCATTTCAGATGTTCCAGTGACTTACTTGAACATTTCAAAACTAAAAAAGATTGTTAACCGTGAAATTGTATGATGTGGCAGTTAATCAGTATTTGACTCTGAAATATATACCCCGCAAAGATCTTGATTTAAGAGTTGTAAAGTAAAGTCTTCAAGAAGAGTGGGTCTTCAAGAGTCTTCAAGACCCGCGCAGGGTAACAGAGGTGGAAGTAACAGGGGTAAACAGCATAGAGTAAGAGTAGTTAGAGGTAAACTCTCCCCTATAGAAGCCCTAAGAACTATACCATCGTTGCAGCCTGATTAGAGCTATTTTTGAAAGTTGATTTCTTCCTTACGGAAAAAAATCAGCGATTCGCGAAAAATTTGAAAAAAAAAAAAATAGGAATAGTTGGTTAATAAATTAGGTATCATATACAAGAGCTCCACAGAGTGACAGAAAATTTAAAGGGAGATATTGTGGCAATTTCACGTAAAACTTATGAAACTTATGCTAACTTATGCGAATGAATGAGGCTGCTTCTGAACCAACCAAAAAAAATTAAAATTAAATTTTGAATTTTTTATGAGATGAACTTCGTTGGAAAAAAAACATTGTTAGTTGAACTTGCAAATCGTCGGCGTGATTTGTTACAGGCTGCGGAACCAACCCGTAAAAAGTGAGTTAAAATGCATGTGAATATCCACCGAAAAAATTAAATTGCTGATTTAACAGTTTTGTACTTACCTGCAAACTGTCCGACTTGTTCCAAATGAGGGGTTTGGAGGACAAGGCGCATAAATGCAGTTTTTGAAAAAATTAAGATATTAATGATATTAAGTAAAACTAGTCTTAATGCATATTCTGTGGAAAACTCGTTCCAAATTTCCAATTTTAAAGCATGAAAGAGTCAGTTTGAGCTTTCTCTCCGCTAGAGTCCCTTTATACCCAGAGTTAAGACAACTCACTTTTGGTTGGGCCAGGGTTGGGCTGAAAGTGGCCTAAAAAAAAATCCAATTCTGATTGGTTCTCGCTAATGGAGGCCGAAACGAGTGCACCAAGATGGCGGTACCTCGAATGTGAACAA